ATATATATATGTATGTATGTATATGGTGAAGGTCTAGAAAAAATTTCTGTGTATTTCAAACCTCCCTCAGCCATGCAGGACCCCATTTCCTTTCCCTGCAGGTGACTGTCTGGACGGGATGCAGAGCCAGTTGCTCTGCTGCTCCAGGGTGTCCATGCTCACCCCTTTCAAGAGAGCTCCCTGGATGTGGGAATGATGGACATTTAGCACTGGGATGTCACAACTCATCAACAATGCTCTGACATCAATATATCTTAGTGCTATCTTTCCTATTTAGATGTCTTAAAAGCTCCAGCATTTTACTAAACAGGGGACCTTCTAATAACAAAGTCAGTTCACAGATCACTTTTTTCTGTAGCTTTTTAAATGAGATTAAAGTCTGAAAGACTAGTAAAATGTTTCAATATAGTAGTGTAGTATCCACTGATAAAAATATGGGATTTGTGTAGAATTTAGGCTATCTAATCTGAAAGTAGTATTGGACTAGATTTATCTGATTTATCTGATTATTTTTGTTTGCATCATTAAAACTAGTTTGCTGTTTATTTTGGCCTCTCATTGTAATCTTTCATTCCTGTGCCATCAGCTTAAAACTGCTAAAGATCACACCAAAATCGATCTTATGATTAAGGCTGAATTCAATGGACAGAACTGTCATTTATTTGCTTTGCTGAAATGGAGAATAAGATTAGAATCAGAGTGTGGAATAAGTTTTGCATTTGTTGTGTATACTCCTCCTGAAAGCATCCCTCTGCTCATGAAGATGAAGCACCTTCATGGTCTGCCTGAAAAAGCCTTAATTACAGTATTTTATTGAAATCCTTTCATTTTTATGAAATGCTCTTATGGACCTCTTGATTTTCTGTCTTTTATTTCATGCAGATACCACACGACCAAAGCGTGACTATGAAGTTGACGGGCGAGATTATCATTTTGTCATTTCAAGAGAACAAATGGAGAAGGATATCCAAGAGCACAAATTTATAGAAGCCGGGCAGTACAATGATAATTTATATGGAACTAGTGTCCAGTCTGTGAGATTTGTGGCAGAAAGGGTAGGTTGACATGCCTTTCATAGTCCATGTGACACAATCTGTTTTGCTGCCCCACTGTAAGTCAGACATGATGCTTCTGCCAACATATAAAATATCCACAAAATTTTAACCTAGTATTTCTAGCCTTACAGTGACTTCACAAGTAGGAACTCTAGCTTTGAATGACAGCATTTTTGGCACTTTCTGCACCCAAATGTGGTACCATGTGTTCACAAATGTTTTCACAATGCCTTATGTATGCCCCAAAACTGCCATCTCTCTTTGGGGTCAATTCAGAGGAGTTCAGAGGCACTCTGAGTGGTTGGTCTGGTTTGAGCACCCAACTCCAGGTTTTGGACTTACCTTGAGTCCAAGCTCTGCTTGAAGTTTCCTTCTGTGGCTTGGACCAAGATATTTAACCTCTGTATTTCTCAGCTTCTCTGCCTGTACAATGAAACTAGCAACAACACACATTATATCCAGATTTTTTTTTTAGGTAGCTTTTGTAAAGCTTTCTCAGGACAGTCGTGGGAAGTGCTTTTTGAACACTAATAATTGCAAAATTGCAGACACCTCTATGAGACAGATAAGTAAACTTATCTCACTCTCACAGAGGCAGAAAATGAAGCACAGAGAGATTAAATGACATGCCTCAGGTGACTTAAGAAATCTTAGAAATATGAAATAAATATGAACTGATTTAACAAGTAAGAATATAGACAGCCTATTATTTTTATGATTCAGTTTTCCTTGTTTCTGAAGAACAGTGCCCCCCTGAAAGTTCATTGTAGTTAAACCTCTAGAATAAAAAAGAACCTATTCCCATGTCTTCAGTATAGTCTTTAATATTACTAGCAAGGCAAAATAAACACTGCAGAGAAGCGGATTGTGTGTCCCCATGTCCCCTTCCCTGGTGTGTCAGTGATGGCTCTGCTCCAGGACCCTGCATTGCAAAATTACCTCCCTTCTTTCAGCTGAACCTCAGCCAACGCTGCAAAAATAAACGTATCCTCATCTCTTTCCAACAGGGCAAGCACTGTATACTCGATGTGTCAGGAAATGCTATTAAACGATTGCAAGTTGCACAACTCTATCCCATCGCTATCTTCATTAAGCCTAAATCATGGGAGCCTCTGATGTGAGTATAAAACCCTTCAAGCTTTTTTTTTTCTTCAATCTATCTCAAATGGCAAAACTCAGGTTTCCAGCTGGCATTTTGTCTGTTCTGTAAAATGAATAGCAAGAGGAGGCAGGAATAGTGAAGACTTCCTCTCCATGTATGCCCTTGACTGGGTGCTGCATGGTCAGATTTACCCTGGAGGCCAGAGGGAACAGCCAAAGCTGCCTTCGAACCTTCCACACTTGGGACATGCAGTCGTACATGGTGGGCCCCGAAAGGACAACCTGCCAATGCTCAGTGTATTTTTTCCAAACACATGCAGTGAATTTAGCCAGGCCTCTGCAGCAACATGTGACTTGCCATAGGGTGGCATGTGCTCACGGTACACGCACAGAGGTGCAAGCAGAGTAAAGCTGGGTCAGACTTTCTCTATTAGGCCAGCCTTTCTTTTACTTCAAGGTTCATAAAAGGACAGGTGAGAACCTAAAGGACTGGAGAGGGGCAAAAGTAACACTTAAGGGAAGAAAAGAGAAGGCACAAATTTCATGCTGTGACCAGGAACCTAACTGCAGTACTGAGAAAAATGCTAGGAGCCCACAATCAGTTAAGCAGCTAAGGTGGCACCATTTGGCACTAGCTATTTTCGTGAACCACTTGAATGTTGAATTGTATAGTACTTTTATAAGGTTTGTGGTGAGCACAAGGTTGAGAGAGGTTGCAAGCACTTTGGAGGATAAGATTAAAATTCAAAGCAAAATCAGTAAGATGAAATCAACACAGACAGAGAAAATTAAATGCACAACTACAAGTAAGGAATAATTAAGCTATAGCACTGCAGAAACGCATCTGGCACTTGGAGTGTGTCACACAGGGCTGTAAATGGAGGGATAATGTTGTTGGAAAAAAAATACTGTCAGTGTGGGTTCTGTTAACATCAGTGCTGTGAAGGGACACAAAACAATTATGTTGTTTTACTTGGTGTGGATGAGGCCCCAGCTGGCACACTCTGCCTGCTTCTGCATAGCATCCTGGAAATAGAAGAGGAATGAGGGGTACCTGGCCCAGAAGAGAGGCAGGTGAACAAGAAATATGATAATAATATTCACCATGTTAATTTTAAAATTTATTATGATCAATTGTTTCCCATGAAAAACAAGGGTAATGCCAGAAGTTATCATTTTCATTTTACTGTGATGGGGATGGAATTTGGTACTCTGTGCTTTCTTCTCCCCAAAGGCTCTGCAAGCACCAGGCAGATATACCCACAAGAAAATTAAATGTAGGCATCCCCCTGCTATGACAGATGCACGCCTGGTTGTGTTGAAGGCCCATCCGCGAGTATGGGATCACAGAGCTGGGGACTGCTAACGTATCCCATCCCATGGCTGAAGGGGACTCTTTATAGCCCTGACTTTTGGATATGAGATGTTGTATGCACAGGGAATCACAGAGCATATAGTACTTAAAGAGCCCCCGCCTATCCAAAGATTGGATATCCTGGGTTGGATATTTTGACATTTTTTTCAGCCTCACAGTGCAGTATCTTCTAATTATTTTGCTGCTAAAAGTGACTAGGGGTTTCTAAAAGACTACCTTCTGCATTGGTTCATCATTTAAGAGAAATTTTAACCTGCGGTTTTTCAGTAGCTAAGGTATTTCCATTAGCATGATAAAAAAGGAAGTGCATTGATAGATGGGGTCCTTATTCTGATAACACATATATATCAGATACAACTGTAAAGGCAGGAATAAAGCAAAGTTTTGGTTGATTTAATGCAAAAATATCAAATCTTTGAGCAGATTGGATGAAAAGTGTTATGTAGATGCTATTGATAGATGGGGGTCCTTATTCTGATAATACATGTATATCAGATACAACTGTAAAAGCAGGAATAAAGCAAAGTCTGATTTAATGCAGAAATATCAAATCTTTGAGCGGATTGGATGAAAAGTGTTATGTAGATGCAAAGCCTCAGGATGTTCATCCTGCTATTAAAGCAAAGCAATGCTAATATTATACTTAGGACTAAACAAATTACGTAGATAGTAGAACTTTTCTTAGTGGGATATATCAAAAATTACTAGGCTATTCTTCACTCTCTAAATCAAAACCTGCATAAATGTTGGCAGGAGGAACATAGAAAGTGAAATTTGTTATATGGCTATTGAATTGCTTATTCTACAAATGTTCTCCTGAAGACCCTTCTAATTAGACTTAATTAGATTTAAAAAAATTACACCCTAATTTAACTCCAAGTTTCTGTGGGATAGCAAGAGTTCTTGCAGATCAGCACAGGTTCTGGAATTTTTGTAGTAATGTGGTTTATATAAACAAATTATGTAAACACAATTCAACTACTTCTGAAAAAAATCGAAAAAGTAATGAATTCAGGCATCCTAAATTACTTTATGCCCTGCAGCTTGCTCTCCACAAGTAATCTTTTTATCTACTTAATATATCTAATGTGCATTTATCTCATCAAGCAGCACCCAAAATTAGTTTCTAACAGAAATAAAAACCTCTTAATATAACTGGTATCATTCTCTTTTAAAAACTGCCTTGAGAATAGCAATATAATTCCGAGCTTCTTGCTCGCCATTTATTTCATTTGCTAATGAAGTTATATGAGCCAGGATATATAACAGGTGGCTGAGCAAATATGTGCGTGGATGCAAAGTGTGGAGCGGGTTTGCAGCGTGCGGCTCCTTCGTGTTCCCTGGCTCTGCACATGGCCCTGCCTCCCGGCAGTTGCAGGACAGATTCCTACATTTCCATGGAGGGTCCAGCTGCCTCATTTTTACCATGGTCTGTTTCCCCCAATGAGCTGATGTGCTGTAAATCTGCACACTTGTTTTTCTCCTGGGAATTTGTTTATACAGCCCTTTCTCCTCGGTAAGGGCTTTAACAGCATCATTTGCTGGTGTGCATGGATGAACGGTCATAGCCCCTTCCTTATGGATACTGTGATTTTGCTACAAAGAGGTTTCATGTGGTTTGCCAGTGCCCCGTGGGAAGAGAAAGAGGACACTTTTATATCAATAAAACTGTATTCGCTCAGTTTTGCTTCATGTGTGTAACTACCACAACAGAAAAATTCCAATTCCTAAATGGGAAGGGGATATATTAGTACAAAATCTGTTTATAATGATGGATTTATCTGCTGAAGCTATTTTTCTTGCTCACATAAACAAGTTGAGAGTTAATGAAATAGCAAGGAAAAACTGTCAAACAAACGAACAAAATTGACTGGAAGAACCTATTCCATCATCCTGTCCTTCCTTCCCCACCTTTAAAGACTCCATCAGCCAGGTTTAATCCCAGGAGGGTCCCTGCCAGCACCTCTTGGTCAGCTTATCCTTAGAGGGATGAGGATGGTGGGATCACAGCAGTGAAGGCTGGAAGTAGCAAAGAGGCTGCCTGGGCGAGCTCTTCACCGTGAGAGGAGAAAAGCCCTCGGAAAGGTGCCTGAAGGGACAGCTCTTTGCAAGCATTTTTAATTCAGCAGCTGTGCAGATTCCTGGCTGGAGGAGAAAAGATTTAGAAGGGATCCTCATTTGACAGCACTTTTAATTCATCGTGACAAATGGACATCACTGTCCTCCCGCTCTCCATCCTCTCCCTTGAAGGCACAAGATTGGCAGAGGCATGAGCACAACTAGCATGGTTTTACACTGCAGGCAAGCTACGTTCCCCAAATCTAATGAAAATTTCTGCTTGTTTCAAGTACTTGTTCGTTTAAAGGCTCATTTATAAGATCTATTATATAGATATTCTCTACTTTGATTTTCAAAGATCTTCAGGAAGACTTCTCAGAGGTTTACTAGAAATAGAATGGGAAGGAGGAAGATGTTATTAGCACTAGAATATTGACTGAGTGTCCTTAATATGTGGTAATTTGTTAAGTTTGCGTACAAATTTGCAGTGCTTGGTCCCACTCCAAGACAGAGCTTGGGTTAAGTTCATTAAAGATGTGTCCAAGTAGGCATAGCTGATGAGAAGCCTGCCTGAACTGAGTTCGATAACAATCCTTCCCATAAATAGAATTAGCAGTAATAGAAATCTAACAGCATTACACAGATTTGCATACACTAATCCAAAACCTATGAATATAAACCACAAATGACTGCCATAAGTTTTCAAAAAAATCTTTCTTACCTAGCATTCTGTTTCTGCTTGCGCTGGCAATAGATTTAGCACTTCCAGAGAGAAATTTTAAGCAATGCTCCCAGTTATATGATTAGTTATACAGACAGGCAATTTTAGGGTCGAGTCAGTTCTATAAATACATTTTTGCATCTTTGGCTACTTACATGCCATCTTTCAGAAACTAAGTAGGAGTTAGTTGTAGCAAGTTCATACTGTTGTGCATTTTAGAGATCATTTTTTATGCACCATCATGCACATAATTTCCTACATGCACCACACATGTCATGCTATTCAGAGCCCATTACTGCATAATCATATGAGTCCGTGCAAGGCATTAAATCAGGTTAGATAGACTATCGGATGCTCTCTGCTTTCCTAGCTGCCTCAGAAAATTTCTGTCATATTTTAAGAAAAATGAATACATGCTATGAAAAAGATAGAGTCTATTTGCTACTAATAGCTTATTTACATATTCTCAGGCATATATGTGAAAGGCATTGAATGAGTATGAGCTTGATTCTTTGCAAGCTGCAGTGTACAGTGGAATTAACAACTGAGCATGTTTGGGCAAGACAGCTCATTTCTTACAGTTATTAAATAATGCCTCTGTTGAAACAGAAATGCTCCATCAAATAACAAAACATTCACAATAATGCAGAGTTACTGGCACTGTCTACACTTTAAGTTTATTGGTACTCTATGCATTTTAGAGCTTACACAACAGATTGGACCAGGAACTATATATATAATTTAAAAGGATGGAAAAAGAGAAGAACATGAGTAACTAACTTGTACCACCTCTTCCTGCTAAAAAGACTCAGTTTGATTTCTCATGATTATGTAGAACTCATATCTGTGCCTGAATCAAAAAATCTTTCTGAGGGACAGTGCTTGTGTTCCTCTGGGGCTCCCTATGGGGTTTACCATGACTGCAGGCTTCTTCCTATGGAGCCAGGAATCTCAGGATGCTGAATCCTGCCTTCAGTCAGTGGTTTCAGTGCCATGACCCCAACATGAATAAAAATCCAGTTTCCATTTCAGCAGTCTGGAAGGTCTTCTTCACCCAAGACAGACAGCCACAGTCTTGGGAGGTTCCTGCTGTAACTTCTACTCATACGTCAGGAGCACCATGAGGAGCATTCTGAGACTCAGATTTTGACAGCCTATTGATTCCCAGACTAACCCAGGTTTTTTGATGTTACCCATACATTTCCGTTAGCAGTTATGAGGTTTGGGACTCATTTTCTTTAGAAGAATAGAGTGGCGACCTCAAAATACAAATTTAGGGGAGAAATGGACATGAGAAAATGAAAATAGAGATTTCTATTATCTGACAATAAAACTGAATTTAAAACACTGAAACTTCCCATGAACAGACCAAAGAACATCAGCTCTTGATTCTTATACCGATCTCTGTTATTCAGTGAACATATCCTTTAGAAAGCTATCTAAATAGAGCAGTTTATTCAAACTCAGTCAATAATCTAAACTTCTGGGTCACTTCTGTCTGTTTTTAGGGAAATGAATAAACGTCTTACAGAGGAGCAAGCCAAGAAAACCTATGATCGAGCAATTAAATTAGAACAAGAATTTGGAGAATATTTTACAGGTATGTATTTAGACTAAAAAAATGTTTCCTGAGATATAGTCTGTAATTTCACTCAAGGGGAGGGGAAGAGTTCAATGTTTCAGATATTTGATGTCCAGAAGGACTAAGACTACTGGGTATGAATATGAATTCCCTTCATGATCCAAACCTGCTTTCTATAGACTCAGGAAAAAATCTTGCACCACTGCATTTATTTGTACCAAAGCAAGATTCCTCACTATCTTAAGGCAAGAGCCAAGCTATGGGTCATGGCAGAGAGAGAAAAAAGCATCTTACAGACATGGCAGAGGGCAGGATTTGACTGGCTCTGGTTCCCAGTATTTCCTTTGTACTAGTTTAGGAAGCTTTCTGCTGAGGGATTGGTATTTGGGGATCCCACTCAGAAGCTCTCATGTTGTCTTTCCGTCTGCTGACACTCCCTGGATCTCTCACTGCAGTTTGAGATTTCTCCTGTGGGGAGAGAGAATTTCAGAGCTTAGGCACTGTGCTTTGTGTTGAGTTTCCTACTTATTTGCACGCATTGGGCCTGATCTAGTTAATCTTCCAAGCCTAGAGTGAGTCTAGGATAACTGGGACAGGAAAAGAATGTCCATCCAGTCTTGAAGTAGCTTCAACATCAAATGAAATGTAAAGCTTGAAAGGTGGAACCAGTCACACTGCCCTCCCAACATACAGAGCTGCTAGTTAAATCAAGTAACCTAGCTCAGTGGTCTTCATACAAGCAGTATGGGTTGGGCCTCTGTAATGGGAAGATGTCCTTAGTTGCCATCTGCAGGTTGTATGACTTTTCCGTGATTAACAACACAATATACTACTATTTCTTCTAATTTCAACAATATCTATTATTACACTGTCAATTTGCTTGATGATGTAGAATGTAACAATTAAAAAAAATATTGATATGTTTCCTCACTGCAGCTATTGTCCAAGGAGATAGCTTAGAAGATATATATAATCAATGCAAACTTGTAATTGAAGAACAATCTGGGCCTTTCATCTGGATTCCTTCAAAGGAAAAATTATAAATTAGCCACTGCACCTCTGATTACAACGGGAGAATATTTAGAAGAAAACTATAATATACTATTTGGAGGCTTTCCTGTTTTTGTTGCATTTATGTTCTTTGCAGTCAATGTGAATTTTGATGAATGTACAACACAAAGTGTTTGAAGCCATGAAGGACACTGATGGGTCAAAAGGGTAGAAACAAAAAGACTTCTACCACATAAAGCAAATCTGTTGCGTGCTCAAAGCACCAGTTGTAGGTACAAACTTTTGATGTGGAGACCCTCTGTCAAGGGGAGCTAGCCACCTACTGTGCCCATGCGGACATTTTGATCGATCTCAATGGCTGAGCTCAGTGTGTTGATTGCTTTAAAGAGAAGTTCCCAGCTCTTGAACCTCATATAGGGCTTGATCCTGCAAGGCGATGAACACTTGGTCCCAGTTCCTACACATGTGAGTAGCCCGTTGACTTGGAGTCACTAGTGACCCCTCCCTACACCGTTCAGTCACATCCGTTCTTGTAGGACTATTCATGTGCTCAAAGCTAAGCACGGGCTAAAGCGTTTTGCTAGATCAGGGCCACTTGCACCTTGCAAAATCAAACTCAGAGAACCAGGTCCACTTCCTACTGAAGTCATTGGTAGGACTGTCTTAGACTTGACTGGGAGGTGGATCCTATTCTAAGCTTGTCATTGCACATTTGTAGTTGGTACACCTCGACTTTGGTAACTATGCACATCTTTTGATTTCTGAAACCAAGTCAAGCATTTCTTTTCTTTTCCCCCCATTTGGAAACACTATTGTGTCAGGAACTAGTAATAATGTAGTTTATTTCAATGGAGTTTGGGAGTTGGAGAGGACGGAAGCATTTCACATCACACGTGCACGCAAACACATTCCCATGCAGACACACACATGTATGAGGATTCACAGCACCTACATTGACAAGGAGGGATACAACTGGGAAAAGCTTTAAAATTTTTGATTGTCTATTTTATCATTTATATTGATAGAAGGCACTTAAAGATGGAATAATTTATAAAAATAAAAAATATATTGATGTATAGAAACTAATTTCTATAGGTAAAAAATGTTTTTGTGAGATATTTTGTAAAGATTAATTAATTGAAAGATTAAATATTTACACCCTTGTGTGACTGTAAAATGTAAAGAAGACCATCAAGTTGCATTATCCCTTTTATGTAACAGACTCTCTATTATTAATGACAAGCAGGATAATTCCTTAAATTGTAGTTGTCAGGTTGGTTTTCTCTCAACTTAATCCTCTCCCTTGCCTCTATTTAATCATGATGAACTCCTATGGAAAGGTCTCTTAAACTGACTGCCCTGTAGGACATTTTTGAACACAAAAGGGTAATGCATCTTTAAACTGAAATAGATGATTTTTCAGAAGCAAAATGTCAGTGCTTGAATAATTTTCCTCTTGGAGGAAGTCACACTTCACCTAAAACGTTTTATGATTCTTCCTGTTCCTTTAAGGGAAATACCAAGAGCGTTTGAACTTTCCTGTCTTCATAGGCAGGCAGATCACCAACTAACTTCTATCTTCATTCATTTCACAGTCAACAAGGGTCTTAAAAGTGAAAACTGAGGCAATGGACGTTTGCAAGGGATTTGGGGAGTCTGTGGAATTTCAGCTTGGGGTGCAAGAAAGCAGGGAGGGAAGTATATTTCTTGTTTCGTACTGCCCTTCCTTTGCATGCTGGTGCCATGCTTCGCTCTGACACACAAGGGGACTACTGCAAAAGATACTAGAATTGTAAGCTGAACCTCCTTTACATCTGCTGCTGGACCAAGTTTTACATAAAACCCAGAGCCTCCTGCCTACTGGGCGGCAGGAGTCCAATAGTTGTTACCTGGTGGCTACAGTAACCCTAAAGTTTAAGGACCTTTTAAGGGCAAATGCTAAATAAGCTCCTTGGTTACTTGTCTCTTTGAAGCTTACGTTTCTGCACCCTGTCGAGCAGACAGGTCTATCCGGCCAGCTCCCCAGAGAGCGCGACTCGCTGGATGTTTGTAGAATTGCCACCAGTGGTGACAGGCTAATGACACGGGCATTGCAGTGGCCCTGAGGAGGCCACTCACTTACTGCCCTGCTATGATAACTTTGAGAAGTTCACGCATCTTTTATTACGATTCTTTTGCCTGGCCAGCACAGATTTATAAACAAGGGTTTCAGCTGAATCTATGACAAAGCTTTGCAACCAGAAGGGCTAGAAACTTTTTATTTTTAACAAAATATAACTGAATGAAAGCTCAGATTTTGGATTATTCTGCAGAAATCCACAGAGTGACCCCAGATCTTCGGAGGCCATGGTTTTTTCCTTGCTGGCAAAGCACTATTGCCCCAGGTTGGGAAATAGCCCACTTGACCTGAAAAAAAAAAAAAAAAAAAAAAAGTATCCTAAAGCAGGAACTTCATTTTAATTTTCAGCTCTGTTTTTAAGCAATCAGTCACATCTGCTTCTTTGTTTCTTAGTTCAGCATGCAGCCTTTTACGGTACTATCCTACTAGTAACTGTTTTGCTTTGTCATGTGCTGTGCTTTACAGTGAACAGTAACACTATGGCTGAGTACAATCAATTTTTCCATCAGTCCTCAGTTACTGTAGTAACATTATTTATTTTTCCCTGTCTGTTGTTTGTGCTTCCAGTTTAGAGTTGCCATTGCACTTCTTTTTTTTTTTTTTTAATAAAACGTATATTTAAAAACAATTCACCAAGAGGAGCAGTGAGAGGTCTTCTTTCCCTTAGAACTTGCACTCCCATTTGTTTTGTGTTCTGGCGTTTTGTGTTTCATGTTGCAGCATTCGCAGGGCTGCAGTTTATTTTTGCATCACAGCTGTTCAGATCATACTGGGTGGTAGTGGCAGGAGGAAGAGAAACATAAGATTCATGCAGAATTACATCTGGTACAGACAAAAAAATCCAACTTACAGCCCACAGCATTTGGCACCTCGGACCGCATTGGTGCTAACATGGCTTAGCGTAATCAGATGTCTTTTCTGTCCATGTAATGGATTTGCAAGTGTCCAAACATGAGACAAATGCAAATGCTGGACCCTTTAGGAAAAGTGCCAGATCACACCCCTGGTGCTATTTCTCATGTTCTGGCACAGTGTGTAGCACTGTAGGGTCTAAGCAGAACCACAATCACAGGGCTTTTTTGTCCACCCATGGATGATCACAATGACATCTCGCTGGTTTTGTGCAGATGTGCAATATTACAACCTCTTTGTTTCTTCTTTCCACAAAGTATCTTCCATGCACTGACTCATTTAGAGCTTGCTAACAGGACTCAGTAAAACTACACTCTTTACTGGTCCTACTGGCTGACCATAAACCAGTAAAAGAGCCTTTCTTGCTTAATTCCCCCTTCCTACAGAGGTACCCTGTCCACGCTAGCGCTTTGTAATTTTTTTCATAGTAAAGGCTGTTTCTAGATAAATATTCTGTGTTGTAATTGTGTTTGTAGCTAGCATGGGTCAATGCTCCAGCGTGGATAGGGTCCTAGGAACCACCCTGTGAAAGTCTGGGATAAGAAATATCTCCATCGCACTGAAATTTGAAATCCTCATCCTGGAGAGCAGTGCTGAACCTGAGCTAATAACCACTATAAGCCAGCAACAGTGTCCACATTATACAACATCCACCTACCTATTTACAATAATTTTCCATGGAGAAATTGTTGGTGTTTCACTGTTACTTACTCATTAGCACTCAGTCAAATTGCATTTTTGCTTTAGTTTTCTTTTTTGTTGTTGTCTTTTTGTTTTCAAATTCTGAAAAGAGGTTTCAGTGACTGACAACACCTGTGAATATTTATATGGAAAAAAAAGCATTAAAGAACAAAAGTTTCCATCTTCTTTTTAAGTTGCAGATTCAAAGCCATAATATCTGCAGTGTTCACAGAAAGTGGTCTGTCAGTGTTCATAGCTTTGAATCTCAGCATTCTTTTTTTCTCTAGAACATTTTGTCTGCCACGTTATGCATGTAGTTCACTGTGCAACTGCATTCATGTGCTCAAGACCATGCTTTGATAAAATAAATGTATCTTACTGTTACATTAAAGATAAGACATCTTGTCAGTTAGCTCAGAAATAAGAACGAGGTAATCATTATGTGAAAAAAAAAGACTGTTTTAGAGCACAACCCAGCATCAAAGCTAAGAGCAAATAACACCTTCAACATACAGCTAGTGTGGATCCTCAGCTGGTATAAACCATGGTTGCTCCACTGATCTCAGTGGAACACCCACTGTTTACACCACCTGACTTTACCTATATATCCTCTCCATTTTGCCTACTTGATAGCATTACTGTAAAACGCCAAGGCCGTGTAATTAAGCAAGAGCTCAGCACTTCCTTCATAGTTACTGTTCCTATCACTGTAGCACCCAAAGGGCTTAGTCAAAAACCAAGACCCTTTTTGAGGTAGGTGCCGTGAAACTGTTGAACAAAAAGACACTCCCATGGGCCAGACGCTGTGGCCAGGTTTTCAGAAGGCTTCAGCTCCACCATCATCTCACCACAAGCAATAGGAACCACCGCCTGGTCGGCCCTTTGGAGAATCAGACTTTAAAGTAACAGGAGCAAGACATGAGCTATCTCATCCCTCATGCAGCACTAGCAGCTTGCACCCTCTGGCCCTGACCTACAGCCCAGGCAACTTCCAGTAATGCCCTAGGTAAAACAGCATTTTGGAGAACGGGCGGTAGCCAGAAACCTAGGTTTTAAAGAAAAAAAAAATCTTAAATAAATAAATAAATAAAACCAAGAGTTGGCTCTTAGTGAATAGCAACCTTTTAATTTCTGGATTTGTGTTCCTAAATTTGAGTCTGACCTTCCGAGTGCAACAGCCTGTCTTCAGGAGGCCGCTTCTGTCCGACCACGCTGACCAACTTGTGTCTCTTTAGCAGGATGTTTCTCAACCCGGCTGTAGTTTGGGGTACTCAGAATCTGAACTGGAGTTTACAAATACACTATCCAGCTTACACTCCTGTTATGTGTAAATACTCTGCGCATCCATTCCATTTGTGTAAAGAATAAAGCACACACAATTATAAAAATTAAGATGTATATTTCATACTAGCCGTGTCCTTGCTTATTTATTCCGTTCCAAGCCCTCAGCTGTGGTTCAGTTGTAAATGCTTGATAGAGTGTTTATAAATATGTCATGAATTTTATTATAAAATATTAAAGCATTTTTACACTTTATAGCAAATGGCTTCTTCACAAGGCATAATTTGTCTTTTTTCCTTAAAACATATTAGTGAAAGAGAATGAATACGCTCTTAATGTCTTGAGAGAGAATTGCATCTATCACACAAGACAAAGAGAAATCTGGAAATGGAAAGGACTGAGAATACAGAAAGTCTTTTTGCTTTTTTTTATTATTTTTGAATTCACTCAAAAGTAACTACTGAGAACATTCAGTTTGCTGAAGAGCTGCCACTTTTTCTCATGCATATTGGGTATCATCAACATCTTGGTCAATAATCTGGAGAGGATTTCTCTTTTTTAATTAAAGGATTTCTCCATGTTTCTGGCATCACAGTGCAGCCAGCGGGCAACGTTTTGTAATAGTTAGACACTTACAAGCAGATTAGTGGAGCAGAAACTTCAGTTGAGCTACGGGGCCCTACCAGTCCAATAACCTTGGCTTCTGTCCACCCCAGGAAAGTCTTTGCAGATGGCATGCCAGGCTCCAGGGAGGCCATGTGAACATTTCCAATTTTCGGCAGAGTCGGAAACACGACAGGGACACTGCTTTTGATAGACAGACTGTGCTAAAATAGTTCGAACTGCGCAGGACCACAGCGCTTCCATATGGCTCCGGGAGTCATAACTGACACTATCGGGAGACAAAATCTGTCTGTGGAGTTTTACATGCATAATCACAGGGATGGTTAATCATCTAAACATTCATTGTGATTCCTTCTATTTCCTGAATAGATTCGGAAGAGGGAGATCATCCAAACAGCTCACATTGATATGCAGATGAGCACAACTTAAAAAAAAAAAGTTTAGCAAGTCATTTCTGAGATATCAA